TTGGTAAAACATAAATAAATACCCTTAAAACAATATATCTTTCTTCCACACCTCTTTCTACAGGCCTATTTACATTTTATGACAATTGTGGATAACATCACATTGTCGTATGCACTGTAAAAAAATATTTTGCCTATAACTAAAAAAAAATGATTAGTATGGAAACCAAATGTATTGTTTTTATTCAAATAAAAGTTAAATTTATATAATTTAAACTACGGGGGCTGTAGAATGCTTGAATCTGATTGGTTGACGAACGTGATAGGAGGAAGGGATATTTGTGGATGGCTCTGAAATATTTCCCATTTGAATTCCCTTTTCTGACTGTTTGTTTACCTGCTCCACTTTAGAGTAGAACTCAACGAACTCACGTGCATGTCTACGCTAAACATCAACACTCATTTAGAGGGTTAAGAAACCTTACCAAACGTAGGCTACAGCACAATTATATCTTAAATTGTTTAATTTCTATTTTTTACAAGAATGTCATTGTCAAAGAAGATTTCAATTTTTGGAAATCAGACTGGCATGTGGATGTCCCATGGAACCTCAAGCTCAGCTGGGGGTTGGATTTTACTTCATTGCTTTAAGGGTACATTTCTGTTTTCAGACTGTGATCCAAATGGTCGGTATGTTTGTCTTTTACTTGAATTTTAGACATGATGTTTGTTGTTATCAATCTTTATGGGGGTGGGACGGGGGTTATTGACAATACTAATATTGATAGATGGCCCCCAAAATCAAGTAATTCTAACTCTTAACTACTTAAAGAAACAAAAACAACGCAAAAGAAGAAAATAATTATGGCAGTAATTGGGAGAAGACTAACTATGACATTTGTGAATATTTTAGTAAATTCAGTTGTGACTTGGCTAAAAAGAGAAAATCCTATGAGAATAAAGTTATTTCTAAAACTGCTAATCTTGTATCTAAAATCACTAAATGCTCCTTTTGTCAGAGTGACACTGAAACTCTTCTTCATTTGTTTTGGTCAGGCAATTATTATTTTCAACTCTGGAATGATGTTAGTTTATTTATATTGAGTAGGCTATACTATCTATTTTTTTAAAGGATAAAACAGTATTTACTTACAATTTCACTTTTGTTTAAAGTGAAAGCACTCTTAACATACAATTTGCACAGATCACAAACTGTTGCTCATATGCAGGGAATGGACACATGTCTCAGAGCATATGCGCCGCGCAGCATTCTGACGGGAGTGTGCACACCATCTAGAAGAACTGAATTTTGTTACTCTAAATGAAATGGTAGAAACTCTGAGGGGTAAATTGAAAATACAGTTCATAACTTTCATAGATAATTTGAGTATATATTTAGGCCCATCTGTTGAGAATTTAACAACATTAAATTATTTTTAAAGTGTTAAAGTTAAACCCTTGCAATTAGAACTAGAATTGGCTGCTAACACTGAGAAAATAGCATAATGTTTATGTGCAGTATATATATATATATATATATATATATATATATGTGTGTG